GGAAGTTGCATCTCAGTGAGTGTCAGTGAAATCATGGTTAGTAAGAGATACTAGTTCAGACATCTACTCATGAATCAGTCTATGGGTGAACCTAAAATGTAAGTTGCTCAATATTAACCTCTTGTGTATTGAATTGTTGTATAAAAGCAACATGGTTGCTTGTTACACCAACTTCTCAGAAATTGCTCAAACTGTCATCACTAGTTTGAACATGACATTATTAAATTGGTAACGGTGACTTGGACACATTGCAGGCTACAGCCATTATGCACAATAATTGTAAAAATAATAATAGTTAAAATGTTTTTTTCCCAATTTATTACCAACCCTTTTAGACCCTTGGAGGCCCAGGAAACTGCAGACTATTTTTTGCAATCCTTTGGGGGGAAATCTGTCAAATTGTGTGAAATAGATTTGGTTAAATGGTTAAAACTGGTTAAAAATTGAGCTGAGACTACATCACTGTTATGATAGCCAACAGCATAATCACATTATACGAAATATTTAATAAACAAAAAACACAATTCTGCGGAAACCTGCAGAGTTCTATGGGCACAGATTGCATATGAGCCTCACAATCAGGAACTAGATGCTTCATTTTAAGGTTTACAATTTTGTGTGCCAAACAACTTTAAAATGGTTAAGTAGTGTGACTTTTGACAGTCCCTGACATTGCTGGTAACCTCTTTTGCATTTCGAAGAATCTTAAGATTGATATTAAATCAAGTTAAGAATTCCTTTTTCATGGAGCGCAGCATCAAAATCTAGAAATTCTCACTCATCACCGAAAACCTGCCTTCATACAAGATGCCTACCAGCACAAAACCTGACAGAAGAAATTGACCATAGCTTTGAGTTGTTATTACTGAGGTCTTCTATCTCCGTAAAAAGTAATTTAAGCACTAAATGTCACTAAAATGCCATTCTGAAATAGGTGACATGCATTGGCCAGCTCTGATGGCTTGAGGCTGGTTGTCTGCTGGGCTACAGCCATCACCTTTCCTCACTAAAAATGAATGATCTGTTTGGCAGCTCCATTTTCCACTTTATTATTCAACTAACTCACAAAATGGTAATTAAATGAAGCAATTTAGTAGCAAAAAAAGAGAAAAGTGAGAAGAGGAGAGGCGGTGATTGTGTTAAAGTGCTTTACACACTCACTGGGTGATTTTATTTGGCAGCTAATAAAGCGAACAGAGAAAAACATCATGATTAAAGGGTTGAACAGTGAACACCTGAGCATCTCTGCTATAATCATTAAGATAGAGAGGGGGAGGAGAGCTAGATGAGGCATTGCATTGTTCTTGAATGTTCACAGAGGAAAGAGAGAGAAACTATAAACACGAGACACACTCAGCTGGGAAGGTGGGGGAAGCATGGGGTAAATCTCACAAAAACTGTCAAAAATTGTCTGGATTGCATTTCACTCCAAAATCAAAAAAAGGAGGAAGCCCATTTTAGGACCGTAATTGCATCATGACGTTATTTTCATGACAGTTGAGCACATTAACTCACAATTCTCAGTAGTCTTCAGTAATGCAAATAAAGGATTTTCATTCACATTATTGCAGTGCAATAAAAAACAAATTTAAATTGTAAAGTATATTTGTGTGTATACATGGTATTGTATTTGTTGCTTTAAGATGATTTTAATCATTGTGTCCAGACAGGATGATTTACATGTACTGTATTAATCTGGGCCTCATTCTCAGTCATTGGCTGTGTTTGGATTGGCATAATAGCATTACTGTACTATTTCTGCAGTAGTATGTATACTGTGCACAGTATTTATAGAATATCTGGACTGCCCAAATGTGCAACAAACAACATAACACACTGCGCACAATACTGTATCCCACAATGTAATGCACTCAGTTTGATGTTACATTTCTAATGTGACAAATTAACTGGCAGTTGCTAGCTGTTGTTTGTTGGACCTGTCAACACAAGCTCAATCAAAACAGAATTTGCTGTATAATGTTGATTACAGCAGAAAATAATTTTATACACGACCCAATTTAAACAACTTTACAGCTCAAATAATACAGTTTTTTTAAATTGAATGTAAGTGCCTTAACAAAAATATGACTTTCGTATTTTGTCCCTTAAACCCTCTAGAGACTGGCACTTCCAGTGCAAGTTACACTATGCGTTTTTGTCAAGTCAAAATGATTTTCTCTGGTAATCAACATTATACCGAAAATAATGTTCTGTTGAGCTTAACTTTTGAAGTACATTTCCTTAAGTCTTAAACACAAAATGCAAAGTAATAGTTTTTATTGATTATAATAACTGGATGGCACTCACATGGAACATAATGTGGTCATAATGTGTGACAACAATGTGGCATACTACTTTTTAAAATGTTTATTGTTTAATAATGCCAACTGTTTAATAATGGCAACAGTAGCCTACTATTAGTGTAAGCTAGTATTTTGTTCCAGACATAGCTATTCTCTCTTTAAGCAGGATCTTGTGGTCTGTTTCTTGCATCTACAGCAACTGTACTAACCAGGGTTTGTGTATTTTGTGTTGTCCTCCTCCAGACTCTGTTTAGGAGAAGCAGCCACCCGATAGTCAAATGAATAACCGGAAGGAAGACATGGAGATCACGTCGCACTACCGGCAGCTCCTGCGGGAGCTGAACGAGCAGCGGCAGCACGGCATCCTGTGCGACGTGTGTTTGATTGTGGAGGGCAAGATCTTCAAGGCGCACAAGAACGTGTTGCTGGGCAGCAGCCGCTACTTCAAGACACTTTACTGCCAGGTGAAGAAGGGCTCAGAGCAGCAGGCCACCATCACGCACCTGGACATCGTCACAGCCCAAGGCTTCAAAACCATCCTTGACTTCATGTACTCCGCCCACTTGGCACTCACTAGCAAGAATGTGATTGAAGTGATGTCGGCTGCCAGCTATCTGCAGATGACCGACATAGTGCAGGCGTGTCACGGCTTCATCAAGGCAGCGTTAGACATCAGCATTCGCTCCGAGCTTGCAGACGAACTTGCGGATATTGAGATGGGCAACGTGGTGAGCTCTATGGGAGGCGGGGCTGGGCCTGGTGTGGGTGGAGCTTCGGAGGCACTGGCGTCCATGATCTCGGCCCGCAGTTCCTCGCCGTGGTTGGCCAGACGCACCAGCCCGGCAAATTCATCTGGAGACTCAGCCATCGCTAGCTGCCACGAAGGCAGTAGCAACTATGGAAAAGAGGACCAGGAACCCAAAAGCCATGAGAGCCAGGACGATGCTTGTTTGCAGCCCTTGTGGCCTGCTGATTACCGTTCTGTCCAGGTCAAAGAGGAGCAGGTCTCCCCCTCCAATCTGCAAGATGGGGCTGGCCAAGGGGCACAAGGTATGCCTGGAGAGCAAGGTGGACGAGGAGAGGGGGGCTGGCAACCCCCAGGCTCGGGCCGCAGGAAAAACCGCAAGAACAAGGACACAGTCAGGCACATAACCCAACAGAATGAAGGGGACAGTCGGACGGCATCGCCGCTACCATCCATGGTCTCCAATCCTGGCTGGAGCTACGGCAACCAGGACATTCCAGGTAGGATTACTATATTGGTTGCTCTATTGCTTGCTTTATAGTGTCATCATATCACATTATGTAACTGGGAAACATTTTGCAACATCATTGAGCCGACTGTTGACCTTTCATCAGAGGATGTTTGGTCTTGCAGAACAGAATGAATATGCGTACTTCCCTACTATATAGTACAAAAATGGGCAACTCCGGATATGAAGGGCCACTGTCCTGCATAGTTTAGCTCCATCTCAAATAAAGCACACTTAATTTACTAGTAACCCTGAAGACTTTGGTTAGATATTTCAGCTATGTTTGATTTGGGATGGAGCTAAACTCTGCAGGACAGTGGCCCTCCATAACCGGAGTCCCCAAGGACTGGAGTTGCCCGTCCCTGATACAGTAGGTGAAAAGTACATGAAATAGGTTGTATCTCCGAATCCTGGTATTCATGAAACAGTAGGAGAAAAGTACCCAGATGACCTACTACTTCCAGTGAGATTCTAAAGTACACATCCAATGGACACTTTACTATCCCATGAGGCTACAGGAGAGGGGTTGTGAATGGCAGTGAAGCGAGACAGCTGACGGCGTAGGTGGTGGATGTAGTATGTCCGGATTACATTCATACTATGTGGACTATACTTTTTAACAGTCACAAAGTTTCTCTTTGTAGTACCTAGACGGTATACAATTTCGGACGCACCTTTAGCACCTACTTAGCAAGCACTGCCTTGTGGATCCCGTGAGAGTGAATACTTTGCCACCGTGTTTGATTGTATAATTCAAACCCAGATAGAAATAGAACTCTGGTGAAGATGAAAATTATTGTTGTAACACTAATAGTATAGCAGCATGACAAACTACAGATTGAGGTGGGGAATTTGGGGTTGAAAAAACTAATTTCCTCATTAATATCGGAAAGACACATGGGACACGAGGCAGCCTCATCAACCTAAAAACAAACCGTGCTGAGGAACAGATCACGCTAGCAAGCGGGGATGAGGCCCTACCTGTCTCGGATACTGTTGCTTATAGGTATGTAGATCATTAAAAGTGTGGCAGCTCTAATCTCTGGTGAATTTGTGCAGGCCGACTGTGAAATGGGCACACACACACTTTAAGAAAACAGGATAATTGAATTGACCTTGGTGGCGGTATGAGGATTAAATTGTATGTGTGTGTGCGAGTGTGTTGGGACGGGGGGTGCCCCAAGGTCTTCTGAAGTGTGGAAAAGAAGGGATAAAGTGAAGGAGAGAGGGAGGGGAATACGCGGAGATCTGCATCAGCTTAGCGAGAGTTTACCTACTTCACTCTCAAGGCACTCTCTCATCCTCTCTGTTTGCCAGCCCTGCTACCTGCATCTCCAACAGAAATAACTGCACTCGCTGACCCAACCCCACAGATGAAATATCAAGTGCAAGACTCCACACATCTAAGTACACACTGGCTCACTGTACTGCGTACACACATGCTTACAAAAGTCACGCCCGTTCCTTTGTGTGCAACAGAAATAGTGCACATTTACATTCCTCATACACTGGCCCTTATAAACCAAGCTAATGTGCTAGTCAGGCTTTTGAGGTCAATTTAATTACGTTCTAAATGGAATCGAAACATTTTCAAATCTAAAATCATCCCTCTTAACCGTGTGTAAAACTCCGCTAAGGAACCAAGGATTTGCAAAACGGTAAATTGCTTTGGATGACATTTGATAATATGGGCCGCATCTCAATGCTCAGTGAAGATGAGAATATTGCTTGGTACACAAAACAGGCTCAGGCTTGGACGAGTCCCCGTGAGAGTGAATACTTTGCCACCGTGTTTGATTGTATAATTCAAACCCAGATAGAAATAGAACTCTGGTGAAGATGAAAATTATTGTTGTAACACTAATAGTATAGCAGCATGACAAACTACAGATTGAGGTGGGGAATTTGGGGTTGAAAAAACTAATTTCCTCATTAATATCGGAAAGACACATGGGACACGAGGCAGCCTCATCAACCTAAAAACAAACCGTGCTGAGGAACAGATCACGCTAGCAAGCGGGGATGAGGCCCTACCTGTCTCGGATACTGTTGCTTATAGGTATGTAGATCATTAAAAGTGTGGCAGCTCTAATCTCTGGTGTATTTGTGCAGGCCGACTGTGAAATGGGCACACACACACTTTAAGAAAACAGGATAATTGAATTGACCTTGGTGGCGGTATGAGGATTAAATTGTATGTGTGTGTGCGAGTGTGTTGGGACGGGGGGTGCCCCAAGGTCTTCTGAAGTGTGGAAAAGAAGGGATAAAGTGAAGGAGAGAGGGAGGGGAATACGCGGAGATCTGCATCAGCTTAGCGAGAGTTTACCTACTTCACTCTCAAGGCACTCTCTCATCCTCTCTGTTTGCCAGCCCTGCTACCTGCATCTCCAACAGAAATAACTGCACTCGCTGACCCAACCCCACAGATGAAATATCAAGTGCAAGACTCCACACATCTAAGTACACACCGGCTCACTGTACTGCGTACACACATGCTTACAAAAGTCACGCCCGTTCCTTTGTGTGCAACAGAAATAGTGCACATTTACATTCCTCATACACTGGCCCTTATAAACCAAGCTAATGTGCTAGTCAGGCTTTTGAGGTCAATTTAATTACGTTCTAAATGGAATCGAAACATTTTCAAATCTAAAATCATCCCTCTTAACCGTGTGTAAAACTCCGCTAAGGAACCAAGGATTTGCAAAACGGTAAATTGCTTTGGATGACATTTGATAATATGGGCCGCATCTCAATGCTCAGTGAAGATGAGAATATTGCTTGGTACACAAAACAGGCTCAGGCTTGGACGAGTCGGATCAGGGTGAGAAAAAGAGGACATGTTATGAAAGACCTCATGTCCTGCTCTGTGTTTTGGACTCGGCTGTAATTTTCCTACTGAATTGGTGGATTCTTGAGGTGTTCAGACAGACAGGTTTGTCCAAAACCTATGAGAGTGGCTACAGTGGCCAGGATGCTTTGTTTATTTAAACCTAACAGCATAAATAATGCTTATTTATTTTTGTGTATTTTATCACCCACCTGTTATATGTAACATGAGCATGTTTAAGTCTCATTAAGAGAGCATGAATAGAAGCTTCAGAGCTTTAGTAATTAGTAGGACTCTCTAAATGCCCTCATAAGTGATTTCTGCTTCCATGCAGTCGATGTCCATGTTGAGGTCCAGTCACCAGGTAGAGTTTTCTCAGATTTGGTTAAAGGGTACAGAAAGTGTCTAGTTGCAGGGCTAATGATTTGCATGGTTAAGGGTGCCGCTTGCTGACAGCACTAAATGGGATCTCAGGATGCTGATGTCCAAGTTGCATTGTGCACAGACTAATGGTTTTAAGAAGCTTGTAATTGGTGGTTGGCATGTTTATAGAACTGTATATCTAAATTACCATGCTTCTGGTATGGATTTCTGGCTAGCAGCAGGATATTTCTCAACCTGCACTTTGTAAAGTGTGTGTGTGTGTGTGTGTGTGTGTGTGTGTGTGTGAGAGAGAGCGAGAGAGAGAGAGAGAGAGAGAGAGAGAGAGAGTATATGGTTTTTATCATGATTAGGCAGCCAAGACCAAAAAGACAGTCAGACTATTGTTTAAAGCTTCTAGCTGTTTCTCTCATCTGCTAAAATATTATCCTAATCGCCTTATTGATACTGTTTTCTGCATGAATGTTGTAAGATAAGAGTCAGATCATGCTATAGGGACTGTTTGCATAGTTATTCTTTGCACATGTCCTTAAGTTTCACTGCGCCTTTGTTCAGGCGTCTGTTGAATGGACATTCCCTTTCAGAGCGTCTTACTCACCGCTGACAAACATGAGTCATCAAACCATCACAGTTCTAGAGAGGGGATGTGAGGTGACAATGGATGTTTAGCAGATGTTTGCAGGTGTTGAAACTGGATGCAGAATATGTAGGTGTTATAATGGGCATGTGTCCTGGAATGCAGATTCTCAAACTTTCAGGAAACATCACAATATTACAATCAATATGGTTTAAAACATTTTGTTTGTTGCATTCTGCTAAGTTTAAATGAGATCTACACTTCTACAGGTCAGACCAGGATATGCTAGGTGATTCTTTTTAGATAACATTAACATCCATATGGGGCAGTTGTGGCCTAATGGTTAGAGAGTCGGACTTGTAACCCGAAAGTTGTGGGTTTGAGTCTCAGGTCTGGCAGGAATTGTTGGTGGGGGGAGTAAATGACCAGCGCTCTCTTCTACCCTCAATACCACGACTGAGGTGAGACCCTTGAGCAAGACACCGAACCCCCAACTGCTCCCCGGGCGCCGCAGCAATATGGCTGCCCACTGCTCCGGGTGTGTGTTAACTACTGTGTGTGTGCACTTGGATGGGTTAAATGCAGAGCACAAATTCCGAGTATCACCACACTTCACATATTATTTTTCCCAAATTCTGTGTTTTCCATTTTAATCTTTCTGGATTCTATTATTTTAATTACTTTTTGTACACTATTCCATATCATGATTTGATTAAGTGTGCAGCCCTACTTTTGATTTATTCATCCAAATTTTGCCAAATTTATATATGGACGGACCCTGAAGTTTATACGGAATGAGTCTATTTCATATGTACACTTCAGGCCACTCCATAAACCACAATGCAACGCGTTTGTGACATCACAGCAGATCACATTTAATTTACCCCCACCCCAACAACTCTATGACATTTGCATACATTTTTTTAAATATATAAAGCAGCCCAGTCATACCTATATATGTATAGAATGCTTCACTAAACAAATTCATAAGACAAAAATGTAAATAATATATCAAGTCCATAGCAGATTCCAAGTGATCAAGGGCTTAGGACACTCCAATTCAGCCGATTTCCGCCAGTAGTGGGCACTTGTCTTGTGCAGCGTAATTAATGACGTACATCCGAATCAATGAGATGGAGGGAAGTTAGCGAGGGAAGGCCATAAAAACGAAGTGGAACGCAGCCAGACATGCCGATGTTTAGCC